ATATAGTTGTTCATATAGGTAGGTATACCATTTTTTTTAATTACAATCAAAAACGATAAAAAGAGAATATACATTATAAAAACCGTAGGACGTCAATTGACGTCTTTACTATTTGAACGCAAATATCTAAAACGTCAAATGACGTCTTTACTATTGTAACACAAATATCTAAAACGTCAAATGACGTCTTTACTTTAAGCAAAATACCAATATTTTTATAAAAACAATTCACTCTCTGGGTGATAGATACCAAATTATATCCACTCGTCAAAGGGTTAATACATTGTGTATACAGATATTAAGGAATATGACTTTCCAATATTCCAATAGTAGAGCTTGGATATTAATAAATGATGACATAATTATATTCGAATAATTATTTGTATCACATAATAATCGCGGACGTAATTTGTAATTTAGACTTTAGTTACATTGTAATATCGCTTGGGTGTTACACAATTAACATCTAGACAATGTTACTTATTGATATATAAAACTTTATTTTTATGAAACGGTTATAGAACATCGCACTGATGTTAATCAGTAATATTGTAGTCTGGGGGTTATTTTTCCTAGGGTCGGGTCGGAGAAAAATGATAATCGCGAAAATAAACAACAGCGTTTTAAGATTTTTATAACACTTGTAACTAATAAAACTTAAAAAGTCTGGAGTATGGCTCCATAGCCCCCCCGCCCTTGTATCCGTGCCTGGATGTAGTGTCAAACAAATATAAATAGCTTTGCACTAAAAAAGCTGAATAAATGCCCTAGTAATTAGATTCTATTGTAAATAGAAAATATAAACAGCCCATTGCCTATTAATTTGGTCAGGGTGCAACAAAACAAGACGAATTGGTTCGTCAGCTGAAAGAAGTAAATAGTTTTTATTTATGATAAATATGTTCCTTGATTAAATGATTCAATTATTATACAGGTTATTCGTAATAGTCGTGGGTTTTAGCAACCATTAGTGACCAAGGTACGGCAAATGTAGTCAATATAATCAATATAGTTATCAATATATTCAAACATGACACAAAAGCATATCAACTTAGGGACAATATGTACCGATGAATTGTATGATGTTGAAGTTGATAATCTTCATAGATTAAAACTTGTACATATTTTTGACTTGTCGCATTTAATAAAGTGTATTAGAAACAATCTAATCACCAAAGATTTAATTTTTTGTATTGATGGAGTACAAAAATGATCGAAATATTCACAATTACTGGAGTTATAAAATGAAGACTGCAAAATGTCGCCTAGCATAAGTGTAACTATTGGGATGGGGTGGCTAGGGGGGCTTATCATAAGCTTGTATGCTTGGAAGGAAACAATTTATGTCGGTATTATATAAATTATTTTGTATTTGGTAAGATTATTACACCAAATTTTACAGTAAAAATATGAACTGAACTATAACTTAGAGATAGGTAATAACGGAATAAAAATCCCCGACCCTAGGAAAAATAACCCCCAGACTACAATATTACTGACAACCACCTAACCACATGACAAAGATTGCCTCTTAAATATTTGGATTCTATTAACAGTTCTGCATCCATAATAATGCCTGAAGCTTTAGATACACAATATGTTCCGGCGAGGAAAATAAATAACAGTGGACTGTATAATTTGGTAATTGGTTTTATTTTCAATGGAAATAAATTATTATAATTTATAGGTTACTTGAAGTCTCTGTGCAAGTCTGCCTGGGTAAGTCTTGCTTCAGAGGCTCCGTTGAACACACTGCCCGTTTCGTGCTCCGCACTGGCATTTATACCCTGTTTCGTCCGCAGGAGCCGCCCATGAAATGTCTGTGGTTGGTGATTGGGCGTGGTTGAACGGCGGCGATAACGCTGGTTGGCCGCTGCTGCTCTCGAAGCCACGCCCACAGCGTTCTGTCGTCATGTGCTTATTTATTCATTTTTTGACGAATACGCGGGTCATCAATAAGATTCGTTTGAGCAATTATGTAACTGTACATTATTGCAACCGGTGTCCCTTGTGACCGAACCGATCTGACCCGCGCCTTACATAATACATAGATCCGGCCGATACAGTCGTACGTCTCCCGACGTCAAAGGTGCTTGGTGCAGCATTTTATTCGTGACGATCGACACACGATAGTGCCAACCGACTGTATTCCGAATCTCATCATATTATGCAAGCAACTAGTTGGCTGGCTGCCCAGTGTGATGTCAGTTTTACATAAATATAATACCATTAAGAAATATAATAAGAAATATTATAGAAAAGATACTTCACGTGGCGCGAACACAATATTTTCAAAGAAACGTTAACTACGATACATTCGATGGATTATAGATATTAAATTATCCATATATTTTGCAAACAATGCTTTCGACATCAATCGGAAGCGAATCTTCAACTTGTTGAATAGCGTTATGAATTACATGTGCAAAACATTCCATACCAAGTATACTTCGATTTAATGATTTTTAAAACTTAATAAAAACGTAATTTTTACCCTTTCTAAGAATTACTTTAAAATTTGCATTTGTATTGTATATTGAAAATCTGATGATTTTATTTTTAAGATCAAAATTATTAATATATTTTATGATATGGTTACGTATAAATTCTGCAGTTTCTCCAGATAAATTGGAAAATTCCAGAACTTCAGTAGTGGTCGGAAAATAACAGACAATGACTGGAAATAACTTAATAGCTTTATGATTTGATGCATCTACAAGAATTTAAACAAATTTAGCTTTTTCTAATCAATGTGTTATAATTATTATTCAGTTTTTTGTTGCTCATGGAAAGTAGGTACCAAAAATTTAGTTACCACATATTGTCATTAGGGTAACGATATGTTTGATGAGTCATTATTTCAAAGTAGGTACACCAAAGTCTGATTTATAATTGGTCCTATGTAACATTCAAATTTAAAAAATGATGATGGTAGTTAAAATTAAAATTTACTTAGTGAATTAAATCTAAATTAGAATTAAAACATTAGATCAAAGTATTATGGATATCCAAGAGTTAAAATGGCTAATAAATTAGATGATATTTAAAAATTGTTTACAGACACTAATATGAAAAATAATGAATTACCTAAGTGATTATTATGTGTTGAAATATACAATTAATATATGTAGTCAGCCTTGACACGTGTGTACAATTTAGTAACTAGTTATTGTTGAAAGTGAAGCTTGACGGACTAATGATGTTAGCATTAATATAATAAGTAATAACACGACAATATGATTATGTATAAGTATAATATATAACAACGTACAACTGGACAATTAAACTGTGACTATATATACACACCGCGTACACTCGGTACGACAGCGTCTGTGCAAGTGATTCGAGATTTTCAAGAAGACCATATCGTTACGTATCGGTTTTTCGTAGTAGTACGTATCAAAACAAAACCGGTACACGTCGAAACGTATAACAATTTGGATGTTCAAAGAGACGTACCGGGTTTCAGACGTTCCGATTATGGTCATATCTCTTCTGGTTTTTATCAATAATTCAACTAATAACATCATTTTTAATTTTTGAAATTAATTTTATTACTTGTTTTTTGGATTTAAATTTGAAAGTTTATAATGGAGTTGATTAATTTTGAATTGCTGCTAAATAAAAAACAATTTAACCACATTTATGACAGCAATAAAAGGAAAAGAAATGGTTAGTACTCAACATTCAAACTTAGTGTGTGCCCGTACCCTGTCCCCGTGTGTGGTACTAGTATGTATTATAATACTATTAATCTATGCAGCGGTGGTCAGTCTAACCCACGAGTCACTTCTATGTGTTGGATCAACTGTGAATCAACAATGTTGTATTTTAAAAACCTTTACTGGGAAGTATTATTCCAGTAATAGCTAGTTTGACACATTGGTGATCGCCAGTTGGTAATTTGGTACCCCAAACGGTTAATGTAAATAAATTATATAAAATATAAACATAAAAAAGATATGAACATTGCAGAACAAAATAAACATTCTATTTAAGCTCTATAAATATTTAGGTGGCCTCGTGTACAATTTTTAAGCTTATGGAGTGTTGTGTAATTATGTCTTGATAAGGGCCATACAATTTATTGAATTAACACACTTTAATATTGGATGAATGGCTGCCAACATTGGGTTACAGTTCATTTACAATGTACCATAACTTAAGATTATGAATATTTATTTTTAAAATTCACTATGTCTTATAATTAATACTTAAATGTTCATTATTTTAGGAATATTGTCTAATTTAATTGGTCAAAGATCCAAAATGACTAAACTAAGTTTCTTTACTCAGACGCAAAGCTTAGATGATGATGAAGTTCTATATACTGCTACCTCATTTACTGGAAAAGTATTAAAAAATGCATTATATGTTGAATCTGTTCTCTCCAAATTAGGAGACTGTGATTTTAAAAGCCACTTTCGTTTAAGTAGGCAAACTGTTGAAGTGATTACCTATAATTTCTGTAATTAGCATTGATTTCTATTTTTTAAATAGAAGTTTAATATAATTTGTCTCTCATTACAAATTTAAAAATATATTATAATTAAATTCAATAATAACATTCAGTTTTCTTTTTTTTTAGTTACTATTTCAGTTATTAATTCCGAGTTATGGCATATCTTTAAGACGTGGTAGACATGATCCTAAGAAGCAAATATTAATTGGTTTATGGTATTTTGCTAATCAAGAATCATATAGGTTAGTAATTTTTTTCATGGTAAATAAAACTAATTGTGTAATGTAATAACAAATAAAATTATTATTTAGGCAAATAAGTGACCGATTTGATGTTTCTCTTGGATCATCTATAACAATAATCAACTGCATGGTAGACAAAATATGTGAAAATGCTGATCGTTTCATTATTTGGCCAAAAGGAAATAAACTAAATGATACTATTGAGGGCATTAAGAACTAATGCTTTTCCAAAAGTAGTAGGTGCCATTGATGGAGCTCATATTAAAATATTGGCACCTTGGACAAAGAGAAATAAAATGCCTCCCCTTGACCGAAATAGCTACATTAACCGAAAGCAGGTAGCAACAGTACTTTTACAAGTAAGGCATTTAAAATAGTTACTAACACAAATAATTACTTATAAATCGTCATTCTAGGGCATTTGTGATTCAGAATATAAGTTCATTAATATATTTTCTGGTTGGCCAGGATCTGCACACGATGCACATGTTTTTAAAAATAGCCCAGTCGGTGAACAACTTATTTCAAACTCATTAAATCTCTTTCCTAGAGATATGCACATCCTTGGTGATTGTGCATATCCTCTATTGTATTGTCTAATGACACCCTGTAGGGATAATGGTCATTTAACTAGAGAACAAAGGTACTTCAATTATAAACTAAGCTCTAGTCGGATAGTGATGGAACAAAGTTTTGGAAAATTATTTGGGAGATTTCGTCGAATTAGGTAATGTATTAAAATCATTCATAATTGCTACATTGACAATGAAATATAAAATATGTTTTAGATTTCTTGATGTCTATGACAAGACTAAGTGTGCCAAATTTATTACAACATGTGTATGTCTACATAATATTTGTATGGATAGATCAGATGAATGGAGCAATCATGAAGCCTACACATCTAATTCAATATCAAATGACAAAGACACATGTTCAGATGTTATAAATAATAAAAATTCTGGCAAAATCAAAAGAGATGCAATATGTCAATATTTTGATAACTTTATATTTTAAATATTATAAATGTGTAGGTAATATTTTAACGAAAAAAAAAAAATTTTTGTACCTTCAATTAAAACAAACCTAAACCTATTTATTTTTGCTTAGTGTTTCTATATAATCCCTCATTAAATCTATTTTTTTCCTCAATTTCATTGCTCTTTTGCATAATTTCATGTAATAATTAACATCTTGAACACTCGAGTTCATTTCCGGAACATATCGGAACGTATCGATACGTATTATTTTTCTTCTTGAAAATCTTGATTATTACATACATCAAAGTCCCTATTTATATGAACAATCGAGGCCATCCCGTATCCGTATATAATATAGAAAGCGATAGTAAAGGTGTTGCACAGCTATATCGTAACTGCATAAGTATCTATTAGAAAACGACATTGTACACGCACGTGTGTTTACATGGTTTGAATAGGTACTAATATTAATTGTATATTTCAACACCCTCCCTCAATTAATAATCTCTTTAATTGTAGTCACTCCTACAGCCGACCGCAATATCTCGAAACGTTCCTTGACCAAAGGCTTTGTTAGAATGTCTGCAATCTGATCCTCTGTTCCAATGTATTGTAGTTGAAATTGTCCTTCTTCGTATTTCTCCCGTATGAAATGATATCATACGTTTTTCGTATGTTTTGTCCTCTTATGAAACTCCGGATTCTTAACTAAATGAATAGCACTCTGATTATCAATGAATAATACCGGTTGTTTATCACCTGTTTTTGATAAGCTTATTATCAACCGCGTAATCCACATGATCCCTTTTACAGCTTCACTGGCTGAAATATATTCAGCCTCGGTCGATGACAATGACACACAATGTTGTCTCTGCGATGTCCATGAAATTATGCTTGACCCGTATCTGAATAGAAATCCTGACGTTGAACGTCGTGTCTGAACGTCACCTGCGTAATCTGAATCGCTAAATATTTCTAATGACAGTTGTATACTATGATTAAAATACAAGCCATAATTAAATGTTCGTTTGACATATCGTATAATCCGTTTTAAGTAACGACTAGCAAAGTTTACTGCATATGCTATATCTGGTCTCGTTACCTGTGATAAAAACAGTAAGCTACCTACTGCCTGCCTATAAGGTGTTTCTTCACTTAATATCTCCGATTCTTCCTTTTGTTCAATAGTATGTGATTTGTCTATCGGAATTGAAAGTTCCTTGGCGTCCAGCATATTAAATGTATTAATTACGCTACATGCATCATTTGTCTGATGCACAAATAATGAACCATTTTTCATTAAGTTTACCTGCATACCTAGAAAATATTCTAAGTTTCCCTTTTTAACCTCAAACTCTTTCTCCAAGTTCGTTAAAAGTTTCTCTATTATCTCTTCATTATCTGCCGCGATTAAACCATCGTCAACAAATATTGCAAGAATAATTTGGCTGTTATCAGCTTTGAATACACATGCATCCGCTTCGGTACATTGTAAACCAAATGCATTCAAAAAGTTCTTAAAGCATATATTCCAACATCTTGGACTTTGTTTTAAGCCATACAAACTTCGCTGAAGCTTACATACTTGATTTGAGCCATCTTCGTAACCTGGTGGTTGTACCATGTATATTTCTTCCTGTAGTTCTCCGTACAGAAATGCTGTCTTGATGTCGAATTGTCGTAGTATTAATTTTTCCACAGCTGCTACTGCGAATATCGCCCTAATTGATTCGTATCTGACCACTGGCGAAAATGTTTCATGGTAATCTATACCGTATTTCTGTGAACAACACTTAATGACCAATCTGACTTTAAATTTATCTATTCTACCGTCAATTTTATATTTGGTTTTGAACACCCATGCATTTCGTAATGCAACTTTATCCTGTGGCAAATCGACTAGAGTCCAAGTCTGATTTTCGTGTAATGAATTAATTTCGTCGTTCATAGCATTATTCCATTAATTTTTGTTTGACCCAGTAATTGCCTCATCATAATTCAATGGATTGACACAGATGGCAATAAAAGTCTGAACATAATACCTGTCCGGCTTCTTAAGTGTATTCCTGTCACCTAGAACCATAACATTTCTATCATCGACTATGTTTTCGTCCTTCTCACGCACGCCCGTTGAATTAATTTGAGTGTCTGTAAACTCTAATGTGTCTGCAATTACATTTTCATAATTATTACATTCGTCTTCGAATATAATGTCTCTGCACACGGATATTTTATTTGTTTTCGAATACCATACACGATAACCGTTCGTGCTGTCCGAATAGCCAACAAATATTAATTTTTCACTTTTTGGATCCCATTTCTGACGTTTTTGCTTTGGTATGTGTGTATATACCACAGTACCAAAAACTCGTAAATGTTTAATATCTGGCACGGCTTTATAAATTATAATATAACTCGTAAGGTGGCTTACCAATCTGTGAACTCGTTCCGGTTAGATTAAGTGTATAAACCGCTGTCTTCACAGCTTCTGCCCATAATGACACGTCAAGATTTTTCGCACATATAATTGTCCTGGCAGCTTCTACGATTGTTCTGTTATGACGCTCGACTTTCCCGTTCTGTTCCGGCGTATATGCTACCGTAGTTTGGTGTCGTATGCCATATTTCTGTAGAATACCTGTAATATCCTTGTTTACAAATTCTAACCCATTATCTGTCCTTAATATTTTGACCTTAGATCCTGTTTCAGTCTTAACACTTTTTATAAATGTTTCAATAATATTTTTTACTTCATATTTATTCTTAATAAAATATACCGTTCTGTAACGTGAGTAGTCATCTGTAAATAGTAAAAAATATTTTGACATACCGATAGAGTTCCTTTGCATCGGTCCACATAAATCTGCATGTATTAAATCGCCGACGTTAAAATATTCGGTCTCACTTTTACTGAATGATTGACGGTGTTGTTTCCCGATAATGCAGTCGCTGCATACAAATTGATCGTCCTTGGCTGAATAATCAATATTATGTTTTGCCAAATAATTCCTCACGTATTGAATATTCTGGTGAGCTAAACGCTTACCTATGCCATACTTCTAATCGTTTTTCTAATTATTTGTAATTATTTTCGAAACCTGGCAACACTGATATCTCAAACATTTTTCACGGATTTTCGAGTTCTCATTAAGTGCACCTTCTGGTTATTCTGTGGTCCTACCACGTCTTCAACAAACGAAAACATTGAAAAAATCGACCAAATTATTCGGCAAGATCGTCGATTAAGTGTTAGAGCTGTAGCAGAGATGGTAAATATCGATTGAGAAAGTGTTCGTAGAATTTTAATTGAAAATCTGAACATGAAAAAAGTGTGTGCCAAAATGGTCCTTAAAAATTGATCAGTTGATCAAAAATTCAATCGTAAAGAAATTTGTTCAGACACTTTAAAAATAATCAAAAACGATCCATTTTTTTTAAATAGTATTATAACGTGTGACGAAACATGTTTTTTACATATGATTCTGAAACTAAAAGGCAATCCATGCATTGGAAGACACCAACTTCCCAAGAATTAAGAAAGCACGAATGAGCAAGTCAAAATTCAAAGCAATGCTCATTATTTTTTTTGACATTAAGGGAATAATTTTTATTGAATGGGTTCCTAGTGGACAGACAGTCAACCAATATTATTATAAAGAGGTATTAATTAAATTGAGAGAACGAGTTAGAAAAAAACGACCAGATCTGTGGAAGAATGGCTGGGTTCTTCACCAAGACAATGCTCCAGCTCACAGTTCATTTTCAATTCAACGTTTTTTGACTGAAAAAAAAATTTCTATATTGCAACATCCACCGTACTCGTAAGACCTGGCTCCTTGTGACTTTTTCCTATTCCCAAAAATTAAAAGTTCGTTAAAAGGAACCCATTTTCAAACAGTTGATGATGTAAAAATGGAAACGGCAGAACTTCTAAAAGGGCTGACTGAAAACGATTGGCAACATTGTTTTCAAGAATGGCAGCGACGTATGCAGCAGTGTATAGATGCTGAAGGTAGTTACTTTGAAGGTGATAATCATTAAATTATACAATTTTAAAAATAAATCATTGCATTAGAAAAATCTCGTAACTTTTATGTAACACCTCGTATACAATACACTCTGTATATCGGTCCACATAAATCTGCATGTATTAAATCTCCGACGTTAAAATATTCGGTCTCACTTTAACTGAATGATTGACGGTGTTGTTTCCCGATTATGCAGTCGCTGCATACAAATTGATCGTCCTTGGCTGAATAATCAATATTATGTTTTGCCAAATAATTCCTCACGTATTGAATATTCTGGTGAGCTAAACGCTTACCTATGCCATACTTCTAATCGTTTTTCTACTGCAATGTTCGCATAACATTCAGCTTTCGATGGTGCTTCGACTTTGATCTGTAATTCAAACAACCTACCGCATCTTGTGCCTATGCATACAGGAATCCCGTTTCTTTTGAACACACACGTTTTATTGTCTGACGTTAATTCTAAACCTTTGTCTAACGCTCACCCGCACGAGAATAAATTAAATTTTAATCCCGGCACGTGCAATACATTTGCCAAGTAATTTTTATTTCAATTACCGTTCACGTATGATAATATATTAATATTACCTTTTCCTGTTGCATACAGATTTGTTCCGTCACCGATTGTTACCTGTTGTGTATATTTCAATGGTTCATAACTTGTAAACCATTCTAGGTCCGACGCGCCTGAGTCTAAGACCCACGTATCTGTTGTAGTTTCATTTATCCTTGACTCGCTTACAAATGCATTTAAATTTGTACCTGTAGTACCGGTTTTCCCACCTTTCATACTACTTAGAAAATTCTTACAGTTTCTTTTATAATGACCAATTTTACCACACTAATAACATTTAACATTACTTTTATTAGTAAATCGCTTTTTACCTTTACCATAACTGCCGTTTTTTCCATCGGATCTGTTTTGAAATTTGGTCGGAAATGCACTCGATTTCTCTTGTTCACCAACTTCACCTTTGATCTGGATAACCCGTGATTCTTCAATCAACAACCGACTAGTTAAATAATTTATATTTTTACTTCCCGTTGGGACTGAATCTCAAGCACTGTAAAAATGATTATATTCTTTTGGTAATGTCATTAGTATTTTTGTCATAACCATGTTATCCGTAACTGGTTCACCCGCTACTCTCAGTTTCCTTCCTAAATTGACCAATTTAGAAATATGCGTCGACATGTCATCTGTCGGCTCCTTTGAATAACTGAAAAATGTTTGTTGAAGCAAATGTAAACTTGCCTCAGACTTCTGCTCGTAAATACTCAGCAGTTTCTCCCACATTTCCAATGCAGTCTCACAGTTAATCAAATATTGTAATGGACCAGCGTGCACTGAAGTAACTATTATTTTCTGACATTTACCGTCCGCTTTTTGCCAAGCGTTTGTTTGCCTTTGCCAACGTGCTTTGGCATCCTCGTCGGTCTCTCCTGCCGACTTTTTTATAGGTAGACTTGGTTTCGTCCATTCACCTGAAACTATCTCACCTACTTCCAAGGCATTTAGAATGACCTTCATCTGGAATTTCCATAACGACCAGTTTTCCGCACATAATTTTGTTATTTTCACCGTGTCTTCCATGGCCGATGATTTCCCGTATAACAATTTATCAACAAAAATTACCAATGTACACTGTTTCGCCGTTTTCCGAAATCCAGGGTATCTCCGACCGGTTGTAGTTTTCTGGGTTAATACAAATATAAAAATACTTCGATCACGAATCCACTAGACTGTATGTCTTGGTTATTGACTGGGCCCATAACCTGTTGAAAGTGAAGCTTGACGGACTAATGATGTTAACATTAATATAATAAGTAATAACACGACAATATGATTATGTACATGTATAATATATAACAACGTACAACTGGACAATTAAACTGTGACTATACACACACACTCGTACACTCGGTATGACAGCGTCTGTGCAAGTGATTATTACATACATCAAAGGCCCTATTTATATGAACAATCGAGGCCATCCCGTATCCGTATATAATATAAAAAGCGATAGTAAAGGTGTTACACAGCTATATCGTAACTGCATAAGTATTTATTAGAAAACGACATTGTACACGCGCACGTGTGTTTACATGGTTTGAATACTAATATTAATTGTATATTTCAACAGTTTTACGAGCGTAAGACTCACTCTCTTGACGAATGTAACATGACCTCGGTAGTGCATATATATAGGGACTTCGATGCAGGGGCGTCATTTCAACTTTTTTTTTGTTGGTGCGAAAATGTTTGCAGGCCATTCAAATTGTTACCAGGCCACATAGAAAACTTTTTTTTTCTTTAGTGGGGGGGGGGGTCTAGTGGGGACAAAAACTGTAGAATATTTGTAAAATGTATTTAATACGTCACTTATATTAATATAAAAACTTCACAATATTATTACTATTTTTGAAGAACTATGTGTAGGTACTTTTAATAAGTTTATATTATATTGTGGATGCCAGTTGATTTGGTAAGCAAATTTATGTATATAAAGCACCTTAATAGTATTTAATCGAACCTAACCTATACATTTTTTCTCCTTGCACACTCAAAATAAATAATATAGATAAACCCCTAAACCTGAAATTTGTTTTATGGGTTGCCTTGTTCAAAATTTCACAATATACTTAATTCATATTTCTAAATTGTTCCACATCTAATTTTAATTTAACAACTTAAATTCAATTTAATAACAAATCATTTAGTTACACAAATAAAAACATTTATATTTATTATCATAAAGCAATAATTACTTAATACATTACATATTATATTACATTAGTGGATATCTTCGATTTTTCAACTTTGAAAATGAATCTACAGAATCATTTAGATTGATTTTATTGGCCTCTTCTTTCTCCACACTAACCATTAATAAGTCACTTAAGCGCTCATCTCCCATAGTTGATCTAATATAAGACTTGACTCTTTAAAGTGAGGAAAAAAATCTTTCATTAGAAGCCGTACTTATAGGTAAAGTTAAAACTAAAGATATTATTTTTAATGTTTCTGAAAAAGCAACTTGAAAATCTTTTAAACAGGAAATAATGTCATTTAAATTCAAATTGGTTATATTATTTTTAAGAATCAAGGATTTTGCAGAAGGAAATTCGGATAACATTTTAGACTCATTAAATTGAAAATAACTATAATGGTTTGTAAAGAATATTAAATGAGGGCAGTTAGGATTAAAAAATTATTGCTGGATACATCAAAAATTTCAAACAGGATATTTAATATTGGTGGTAGAATTTCTTTTTCTACCATAGAATATCATTTCTACCGTAGAAAGTAAGTGACAAGGGTAAAAATGTAAACAAATAATATTCTGTGGTTAGGTTAGTTTAGGATAGACAACTTTTTCTCTTTTGATGGGAATTATATATCATGTTGTTTTCTTATTATAACGAGTAGGGAGATACCGGAGCGTGATAAGAAATCTATATCAGCATAATATTATACCCACAGATATTTATATACTCGATGGTAATAATATCATGGTAGAGAATAAAAAATATATATAACCCATAGACATAATTATTAATTATATTATTAACCACACAACCACATCGATCATTTTTGGAAATAAAACCCATTAGTACCTACAATATTTATTATTTTTTTTTAAATACTGAAAAAATATAAAATATATATAATATATAATTAATATATAACACTTAGGTATATCGGCGCTTATATTTATTGTTGGCATGCCAAAGAAGGCGTTTATAAAAAATGTTGGTGCAAATGTACACCCTGCACCCCCCCCAAATGACGCCCCTGCTTCGATGTATGTAATAATCACTTGCACAGCCGCCGTCTTACAGTGCTTAAACGGTGTGTGTGTTCAGTCACAGTTTAATTGTCCAGTTGTACGTTATTATATATTTACTTATACATAATCATATTGTCTTGTTATTACTCATTATATTTATACTAAAGTCATTAGTCCATCAAGCTTCACTTTCAGCATTATGTAAACACAAAATGAAATATTATATAAATAATTATTGAGGCTAACTTCTTGAACATGTGAATTATATTGAAATATTTTTATTTTTGAAATATTAGATAGGACTACCGGCAAGATTAGTAGGAAAAGTATTACTGAATCAGTTCATTGTATGATTTCAGAATGTATGAAGATTCCTCTCCCCAAAACTATTCTTTTTGGGGTTTTAAAGGAAAGTGCAAATTTTGTAGATTGAGCTTTTGTTAATTACTATTTGGTAAATAATTTAATATTGAAAACAAGATCATTTTAAAATGCACAAAACAATGTTTTAAGTATCATTGAACCTACTTTCTTGCAGAAGCAAGCTACAAATACTTCCTCTGTAGTTGAAGAATCATTTCATATTGATCTAGTTATTAATTATTTTTATTATATCTGCTGGAGAATTTATTGTTGATAATAATGATGATAATACACGATGATAAAAATTTTACCAAAAAAGATGTAAAAAATATACAATGTGGTATAGTAGAAAGTTTACTTACACCAATGGTCCAATGGTCTCTATACTAACAATTTTAGTTATCCTTGCTAAAAAAGTTAGCGATCTTGATGATTATGTTTATCGTTGATAAAATTGTAAAAAGTCAATATGTCTAAAATAAATATATTATAATATATAACGGTATATATTTACCTGTAAACATGTGTATTTTTTGAAAATTGTATCAAGCAAAAATCCTAAAGGAAAGCTGTATGCCAAGTTCTACGATTCCACTAAAACTTTTAAGAATTATGGACTAGTTACAACTCCTGCAGCCAAAACCATTAGAATCCAGCAAAGAATCAAGAAATCAAGAATTGGCAACATTTGGATGGAAAGAGATTTTATTAATAAAGTTATTTTTTATATTTTTATATAATTTCAATTTTAATGGTTGTTGTTATCAGCATCAGAAAATCGTATAAGAATTTCGATGGACCAACGAGGAATGGAAAAATATAGAATAAGAAATTCAATTAAGAGAGAATCTAAAAAAAGTAAAGAGACATTTTTGGATAGTATTTTTACAGAGTTAAACGTACAGCTGAAGTCAGGGCAAATGAACAAAGCATATAGAATTGTTCAAAAAATTTTCAGAGACAGGAAAATAAAATTGACATGTATCAAAAGGAAAAAGTGGCGAGATTCTGTTTCAAGAACCAGAAACTCAGAAGGCAAAGACCGAGCCATATTGAAGGAGGAATTCGAAAAAGCTTTAAATAAGTTAAAGGATAGGAATGCTTCAGGGGTAGACAAAATGCCAGCAGAATTTATTAAGAAACAGTGGAGAAAACATCAAGAATATATACTATATGAACTAGTCTAATAGTCTATAGAATCTATAAAACGGGGAGAATACTGCAAAATTTTACACGATGTGTAATAGTGCCAATACCAAAAAAAGCAAGAGCAAATACATGGGAACAGTAATGAACATTGAGCTTGTTTTCACATGAATCGAAGATTCTTACATGGATGAGACAAATAAAAAAAACACCGTAGATAGTATATTAACTAAAAACCAGTTTGGTTTTAGGAAGCAAGGGATGATATACTTGCACTAAGGAAAGTTGTTGAAAAATAAAAAAGGAATTCATAGACTTAGAGAAAGCGTTTGACAATATAAAATGGAAAACATTATTTCAGATTTTGAAGAGATGAAGGATTGCAAACTCAGATAGAAGAATAATTAATTAGTCTCTGTAGAACGAGACAGGAAAAGTACACTTCAAAGAAAGTCTGGAAAAAGCAGAAATTAAGGAAGGCGTAAGGCAGGGATTAATACAAGTAGGAATACAAATTCAAGGCGAAAATGTAGATACAGTTATTTAAATGATTGTTTTTAACGAAATTTTCACTATATATAAAGCTTTGCTTGTGCAATATCGTTTTTATTTTTTTGATATAAGTAACTTATACGAAAAAAGTTTTTATTGTTTCAAAATTCATTATTATTTGTGTTTTTTAAATTTTCATAACTTTTTTCGAAGTTTCGATAACGAAAAAATAAAAACGATATTGCACAAGCAAAGTTCTCCTTTTTGTGTGATAAAAATTTCGTTTCTTAGTTATGACTGAAGCGTTCTCGGTTCTTTCCCGCACAAAACAGTTTTTGCTTATGTTGTACATTTGTATGACGGAGAGCCACATATGCGGGTGCAACGTCCTCTTAAGACTTAAGATATCCACCTAAAATATTATTATATTAATTTTTGTCTCACGAAGAATATATGGAAAGATTCCTTATCATTTTAATAGATTAAAAAGTTTCATTTAAAATTTTTTATTGGATAATAATAGATAAAATACATTCGTTGTTGGATTGTCACAGAACCAATATCAAACAAATATCCGTGTTAATTTCCCTGAAATCTGTACATTCCTAATTTTTCCTGCGAGTTAAACACTCGTCATGCTGATTTGCAGTCAATTCACTTTGACACATCAATGTTAACATCGTGCTGTAAGTAATCGTGATCCATATGGCTGTATATACAATATATTATTCTATATATTCGTTATGCATATGACATACCTATACTCTATTCAAAATAAGACCGTGACCAGGCGGCGACCAATTTTCGTCCGGAGGCGGTCAGACATATGGTGAAACGCCGTCCCCACCACGGCGGTGCGTCGGACTCTGCCACGAAACAAAGCCACGCCCATGCGCACAACTCGGCCGCCCGGTCACGGTCTTATTTTGAATAGAGTATAGTTATGTGTTAATTAATTAATTAATTAATTGGAAAGTTACCCTAGTCTATGATACAGTGTGAATATTTTGTGTGTTTTTTTTATGAAATCGAATGTATGACAATATGACACAATATATAATATCATGGTAAAGAGGGTTATATAATTTGTATAAAATTGCATTTCAAAAATAGCATTAAAATAATGTTCCCAATAAATCCTTTGCAAGGAGTGTTTGACAGACTTTCCGATTAATTAGCACGCTGCATTATAATAACACCTATTCACCACATACGAGAACCTAATGCCGGAAATAGAGTTTGCTGCAGCATCCCATCACGTGACAATTTCTGTTGTCGCAGCCGACATTTTTTCGCACTTGTTGCCTCAACGATTCGATGAACTGAGGTGGCAGCGTGTGTGCCGCCGGATCACCGTAACCAAGTCCTCGCGGGTCAGAACGAACTTGAGCCGGAAAGTAGTTCCTGCCGTCCCGCTGAAACCGACAAGGTGGTTAATATACTACTGCTTTCATATACAATTTGCTATTTTCAATTTTAATATAATAATATTAAATTCCATTTATCTAGACTTTAGGACGACTTGAAATAAACTCATAATGTTATAAATTGAGGATTAAAATTATTTTTGAGTATATAATTATTGGCAGTACCTAGGTATGACCCACCACAGTGCAACTAAGTTTAAGGTTCTGGCGGGCTACAGCCCACCTAACAAAACGATTAATTGAAAATAACTTATAGGAGGCTTATATCTAAATCAATAAGATTTTTCTGGTAGGCTAAATCTCCTAATTCCCCGTCTCACCTTCTGCCTTTTGGTGCGGGAGTCGACAGGGTCGCGCCGTCGTCGTAGCCCGTGGTGGCGGTTGGTGAGGTGCTGAAAGGTAGCTCCGACGTCTGTACTTTGTACTGAGCGTCGTTGCCTACCGTATCAAACCTTTATAACTTAGGATTTGGAAGAAATTCTATAATATCGCAAAAATCTGCAAACAATTTTGTGTTTTAAAAATTATAAAATATTCAATTTTGATAGCTAAGGCTTGACAATGTAATATAGCTATTGGAGGTTACTCATAAGAAGTTCATACTAGACAATTTTTTTTTATAGTAATTTTAAGTTCTATTGGGATTTTATTATATATTTAAATAACAAACAGCGATTTTAGTTATTTTTTGTATTTTAAAAATATTTTTCGTGGAGATTTGAAACTTTCGAACTTATATTATTATTTTAAATACACAATGACATTTTCAAAACATTTAGAAAAATTGTATGCTATTGCCTATTTATAGTTATTTATACTGTATTACTAATAGAAAGTAAATTAACATAATAATTTATAGCAATGTATTATTCGTATGATAATTGGCTGACATACCGTCTCCACTCCTAATCGTTTTTCGTTGCAATAATTTATCATTTAATTGAAACTTAACAGATCCATTACAGAGTTTCTAGTGGCAATTACTTTCCCCCTTCTTAAATAATAAATTTTTTAATTCTGTGTTCACAAATCGTCGTAAATTTTATGGAATAAAAAAATAATAATTAATAATAATAACTTAACTACACTAAAAACACAACCTATATTAATATGATTAATTTAAACTGTATTAAAAATTGCATCATTAAGTTCCTATAGTTGCGAATATAGTAATTAAAACCACGAGATTTGTTGAGGTCGTCACGTACTTAAGAAATGACGTGCAAAATGCAAATCACGGACAAGAAATATTTCACTTCAATCTTTTTCAGGACTTAGAACAATCTACCAATGTTCCTACATATCCATATTGTACCTACTAAATTGATAAGTTTGATTAAATAAATAACTATTTCTCGAAAAACAAGTGGTAACTCGTATTCCATAGTATGTAAGCCATAAATAATTGTCATTTTTTTGTAAAAAAAAAAATAATATTACCTATTATTAATAGATAATTATTAAGGTTTTGTGACAAAATATTTTCAATTTTAAGAAACATCTTATTCCATGTTAGCAATTCAGATCAAGGTTCATACTACTAAACATAAACAATAAAATAACTTATATTAACTTCTCGTCCGCTATCGGTATGTCTAAATCAAAACACTTGTTCGCCACTTAAAGTCGAAATAATGACATGGGGAATTTTGGCCACAGATAGTACTTATGCAGCCAGACTTACGGTATAGCCGTTGAAACGACGCCCACGATGACGACCATACATTTCTTGTTCGCTGCCACGGAAGTTGTGTCCCGTGTCATGGTCGGCTCCAGACCTCAATCTCTTATCTCCGGAAGGATCATACGCATTTTTTTTTATATTCTTTGGTACCTTGTTTTTCCGCAAAACTTTCTCGGGTGTCTTTAACTTCTTAATGATCTTCTTTTGTGGTTTAATTCTGTAATTATAACATTAAATGAACAAAATTCTATCACATAATATGATATATCACTGGATGACACTTGTTTAAAGTTATCAAATGCGCCGCAGTTTCAGGATTCTTACACTATTTGTTCCAATTCTTTATCCAATTCTTCTTTAGTGGATTTTTCCAACTCCAATGAGCGTTTCAGGGTTACGAATTGTTTTTTGCATTCCTCCAAACATTCACACATCGTTTTCATTTTATTTTCTTCATCACTGATTTTTGAATTTTTGCATTTTATAGTTTCTTTTAGTTTTTCCATATCTTTTTTTAGTCGCTTTTCTATTATAATTTTATACACGAAAAATTGTTATTACAATTTTGTACAAACCAATTTACGTAAACATATTAATGTCAATATTATATTATACCTCTTTCCAAACAGCATTTTAATTCCTTTTCCATACACAAAATCGTTGCTTTGCATTCTTCCAATTGTGCGGTAAGTTCATCCATATCTTTTTTGTATTGTGATGTTTTCCTATTGAAACATTCATTCATATCAAACTCCTTTTTGCAGTGTTCTTCTTGAATTTCACATAATTTTTTCTCTGCGTCCTTTCCATATTGTTCTAATAGTTGTGTCGACTCGGCAAGTTGACATTTTAAATTTTCTTTTTCCAAGAAAACAGCTATACAATTGCACGATGTCGTGAGTTCTGATTTTTCAGAACGTGAACAGTCGGCTGAATGACAATCTAATTGAGATGTTGTCTCGAGTGGTGGTGTCTCACATTGACACATGCACCTGTCATTTGATTCACATTGGCCAAAGTCACATTTATTGGTGTCACACGGTTCAGGGTAGCACATGACGTTATCGTTTGGACAGGGCTCGTCAATAATTACTGATACCGTTCCACAATGGTCTATAAGTGGACCAGTTTCAGGACAACACAAATTTGTCTGTATACCAATATGAGTAGATTCCTTTGTCATTTTAATTGAATAAGTATTTTCATAATTTAGTCCTCCTACGTCATAATTTGTAATATTACACGACATGTTGTTTTCACCAGGAAAACTGCAAATATTAAATAGTTTATTTAATATCAAAATAATTAAGGTTTATGCGAAACATAAGCATTTCGGAGATTATAAACAAATATTAAATGACAAATTAATTTACTGTTCAATGTTAAAAAAATAATAAAAAGTCGGTAAAAGTTATTGGCCTTTCTAAATTGTACACGAGTAGAACGAATATATATATTTACTAGATAATTAAATGGCTTCATCCATGCTTAAGTTTTGAACAAAAATGTAATTATTTATAAAAAAAAAAAAAAAATGATTTTTATTTAAAAATTATTCTATAGGTACCCTTATTATATATATATATATATTAATATAATATTATTGATAATACTTTGAATAAAGTAATATACTGACAAATTACTTAAGTCAAATATTTTTTATATACCACATTCAGAGTTTAATATTGTGACGTATAAAAGTATAAATGGTCAGGTCTGCCAACTCTAGAAAATGCTACACACACTTGTCCAATGTGAATGCAAGAAAGAGTTATTTTTCAAATCTAGTTCACAAAGGGTCAATGGCTGACTTTGCACTTTGCTTATTGTCATTGAAAATCAAACTCTTATATTAAAAACTAAACTCAAATACCTAGTTGAAAAACTACGACGTATAAATTCAATACATTCCATGCCCTCATTAATATAATTTATAACCATGTAGATATATATTATTAAATATTATTTAATATTAAATAAGTAAGTACCTAATCCTGTCACAATTTTAAAAATTTCAAATTAATTTCAACGAGCCCCTAAAATAGGTCCCTATTAGTACTCCAGATTCACCCCCCCCCCTCCCATTGTAGTAGGTCATGATTATATCATTGAGTAATCAACCACTTTCGTGCAAATTACGCATTACACAGTAGAGCTATCATTAATATTATACGAAAATATAATAAAATAAAAATAACCAGCAGTAGTCTCCTATCTGTTTATCATCTGCTATGTCATATTGACATCCGGCAGATATACAAGTTGGCTTTATCGATTGCTTCATGTCACAATTCGTAGTCAGGCAATTGACCATATTACAATATTTTTCGGTGATTTCTTCTTTTAGGCATATCTCTTCGTTCAGTTTACACTCTGTATTTTGTAGTTTTTGTTCCGTACAAGTCAGTTTGGCACAAGTTTTATGAAGATCGCATTTAACGTAGCTCATTTCTGAATTCAAATTGGCAATTTCTTCGTCCGCTTTCGTTAGTTTTTCTTTATGCACAATCAAATCTTTTCGCACACACGATTCGTTTTTTCTTAGACATATGAGAGTTTTATTCAATTCATCGATATCTTGACACTGTACGTCATTTTCAGCTCTTAAATTATCATTGTGATATGTCAATTCATTGTTTTTTTGTATTGTTTCTTCAAGTTGTTGTTGTATTACATCCACATTTATACATAGCGTTGACACATGTTCTTTATTTTCTTCGTTTTCTTTATTCAATTCAAATTCTCGAGTTTGTAACCGTTGAACCATATCATTGAATTTTGAGAGTTCTTTTTCATTTAACAGATGTTTTGTCATTAATGAATCATATTCGCATTTATAAAAATTAAGTTCAGTTTCTAAGTTCTCAATATCAGTTTTCAGTAAACAAATTTTATGTTCAAAACATTTTTTGTCTTTCTCATTTATATTTTTAAAGCATTTTTCAGTATTTTCGGTATCTAACTTAGCAGTAGCTAGTTCGTTTCTTAATTCTTGAATGGTGCAATAGAGATCTTCAATTATTTCATTAAATTTTTTTTCTGCGACACATTTTGCTTCTTTTAGTTCATCAATTTCCACTATATGTGTTTTGTTTTGCATCTCAAGACCTTTAGTAACAGCTTCAAATTGAATAATTCGTTTACAGAGATCTTCGATTTTATGACAATTTTTAATGCTATTGTTATTTTCTATTTCAAATTTGTTATTTAGTTCCTCATTTTGTATACTCAGATGTTTACATTTTTCTTGAAAAATGATTTTCAATTTTTCTGTTTCTATTAACTGGTCTTTCATATCACACAAACTATATTCCAATCCATCTATAATTCTTATATTGTTTTTAAGTGTCTTTTTTTTTTCACAGACTTCTATTGATATGCATTCATCATTACAAATTTGTATATTTGAACAAGATTCGTTGCTTTTTAATTCATCTTTCTGCTCATCGCATTTGTTTACTAATTCTACATGATCCTTTGTCTTGGAACACAATTCTTCTGTTACTTGTTGTAATCGGTTCTCCAAATTTTCTTTTTCTTTTGAAATTTTTGTCAACCCCTCTGCCAGTATTGTATTATCTGAGTGCATTGAGCATATCTCATAATCTTTTTTTTTTGACCTTTCTATTTCTTGGTTTAATTTGTTCACATAACATGCAAGATCACTTTGACATTGTGTCAGTTCATTTCTACTGATGTCATTTTCTTCAATTAAATTGCAAATATTCGATTTTGATTGTTTTAATAATGTTAAAATTGAAATACATAACGTTTTTGAATTGCAATATTCATCAACCGCAAGCAATAACTCTTGTACGTTTCCATAGATTTGACCTTCACAGAAATGTTCTACCGAGTTCTCTAACAGTAATTTATCTGCACACGGACAGTTTGAATCTACCAGTGAATTTCTTTTATATGAGCTTTTTGAATCTATCAGCAGTTTGTTTTCACTTGAACATTTTGAATCCACATTCGATTTCTCTTCACATGAACATATTGAACCTCCCTTCGATTTCTCTTCACAAGAACATTTTGAACCTCCTTTTGATTTATCTTCACATTGACATTTTGAACCACCCTTTGATTTATTTTCACATAAACATTTTGAATCCACATTCGATTTATCTTCACTTGAACATTTTGAATCAATCATTGATTTATCTTCACATGAATTTATTGAACCTCCCTTTGATTTATCTTCACATGAACATTTTGAACCTTCCTTTGATTTATCTTCACATGAACATTTTGAATCTACCAGTGATTTATCTTCACATACACATTTTGAATCCACCGATAGTTGTTCTGATTCGCATTCATCATTTGAACAGCATTTACAAATACTTTCATTTTTACAGAATAGATTTTGGTATTTCTCAGTAATCAACTTTAATTCTTTCTAAACAATACATAAGATTTTATTATTTTTATTATTTCTATAATATGACTGGAAATTATAAAACAAGCATACCTTATATGCTTCTATTTTCTCCTTGCCCAAGTCTTGTTCATGGTTCAGTGTGTTTATATGACGGTCTTTTGTACACAATTTACATTTTAACCGTTCTATTTTCTTTAAATGATATTTTTCACGTTCATTTCGACATTGGAGAATATTATGAATACTGTAATGATTTATAAAATATTAGATCTGTATGATATATATTATTACAAGTATATATGTATTAAATATTCAATTTTAGTCATCCAATAATGTTACCTCCTTTTTCTCAATTCAAATAACTTTTTATTTCTTCTTACGTTTAGTTGAGAATGTTGGATTTCTAATTTTAAACACGAATTTCTATCAAACAACTTATTATAATTATCAACCAAACGCCTGTAAGCGTGCAAACACTGCGCTTCAATATAACAATCCATTGCAATTTGTTACAATTAATTAAGTTAAAATACGTAAAACAATTATTATTTTAAAACCGATAAAATTTAAACAGAAAAAACAAACACGTTGAAATATTATTTCATACGTATTAGTATCTATAGAAATTAAATACTGTAATACTTTAATGTACTTCATTAAAATAAATGTTAGTATTAGGAAACACTCGATTTTAAATACTCAATTAAAACACTTAGGGCCATTTTATCAATCATCAGTTAAATAGTCGTTTAACTAATCTCTAGTTTAGATTAACTGAAGATTAAAAAAATGTTAATTTTATCAATCAAATTTAATCCGAGGTTAAGTAAACTGCGTTTTATAAACCGAAGATTAATTTACTACCAATTGAAGTTAGTAGCACGTTAATATATACATGTTCTTATCTTCATATCGGTATATTGTTTTTTGTTATTATTTTAATCTGTAGTGTATTCGTATTTTTATCTATATTATAAAATGTAATTTATATTTTATATTATAATACTTATATTAACTTATACTATTCATGTAAATTACCATTTAATTAATTCAGTTTAAAATAATTTTTATATTGTCATAATGAATTCTAATTGCATTGCATTGCCAGTGAGTTAGAACTTCTTGTCGACCTAGTGGTTAGGCACAACAAAATACTAGAAAATAAGAAAACAGACTCTGTAACTGCAAATGTGAAAAGCAAAACATGGGATATACTGGCTAAGGCATTCAATAGTAATAGCCTTAATGGATTCCGAAGTGAAAAGTGTTTGAAGTCGAAATATGAACATCTAAAAAAAAGGTGCCGCTAGTTGTGTAATCACTGTCCATATTATAAGAGCGTTAAAATAGTGATTTAATAAAAATATATTCTTAATCTAACAATATTATAAAATAATTTGTAACCATAATATTTTTTTTATTTTTAGTGATTAATCATTTTATTTTATTTAATTCTAAAAATTCTAATTCATTTTTAATTCTAATTCTAAATTAATTTTAATTTATGTTCTTAGCATAATTTAAATTCACTATCTGGATCTGATTCATCTGACACCTGATTATCTAAAATATATTCATAGGTACTCAATTGCGCATTGTGTATAATCGTCCCATTTATTTAAATGATCTATTCTTATTGACAATAAATATGGTCTTTGGGGTTTGTTGAAACATCAGTTCACATAACTCAAAAACTCAATTTCTTCATCAGTACTACTGTCACTACTACTGCTGCTGCATAAATAAGTCATTTTATAAGTTATAAGATTCTTTTAAATTAGTTAAAAAACGAATAAAAAAAAAGGTGGGTAAGTGGAGGTCGCTCTGCTGTACAGTAGTGGGTCACTGTATAATGGATGCTATTAAATTTGAATTCAATGATATAATATCATTGTATAAGAAAAACGATTCTGAGCGAAGACGGTATGTCAGTCTAGGTTTAAGATAAATTATATACAAATATATGGTATTAAAAAAAAATTGACCTATAATAAATTCCAAATTAATCATATCACATTATCACAATATCCATTAGGTACTTATAACACGTCATACATCAACATCAACAACAAACCCTGATACTATCATCGATATATTATAATAATACACTTTAGAAGTTTCAAGTAGGTACCCCGTACCCACGAATAATATTATATAATCACAACAAAATAACTAGGTTTTTTAATATGAAATTTCGTCCAAATTTGAACATAAAATGACTATAAAAATAAACTGTGATTGTATATTTTTTAGATTTTTCGGTAAGAGAATTAACTACTTACGTAGAATCTTGTTTTAAATTTTCAATCCTTAGCTATAAAAACTGAACATTTTATAATTTATTAATTACGATGATTAATAATTTTCGAGATTTTGAAAAATTCTGTCAACATTCGATGTTAAAATGCTTATAAAAAAAAATTGTGCCTATGTATTTTTAATATTTTTCAACTGATATTGTAACAATATATCAGGAGCCTTGTATTAAATTTTTACACTTTTTGGCCCAACAGATAAAACTTAATTGATATTTATAGAAAAAAAAAACTAAAAAAATTGAAAACTGAAAATGTCCGTAAACGGCTCAAAAAGAGTCAAAATATTTTCAAAATTGTATGGTGTATAGGAAATGCTAATATAAACATTCAGTGAAATTTTCATGTATTTACAGTAATTCGTTTTTTAATTACAACAAAAAAAGGAAATTGCCACATGAGAAATCGAGTGAATATCCAATGTTGTAAAAATTTGAATTTCAAACGCTCATAAAAATTTAAATTGACTTTCCGGTAGAGATTTTTTTATTGATAAAGGTAGACAATCTTATGAGTAATCTTGTATTAGATTTTCAAATCTTAGATTTAAAAAGAAAAATTTTTACGAATTCTTAACTCAAAATAATTTGCTAATTTTCGTGATTTTTCCATATTTTGTCAATTTTTGAACTTTAAATGCTTATAAAAAAAAATTGTGACTAAGGATTTTTAATATTTTTCATCTGCCTTTGAAACAATATATTAGGAGCCTTCTATTAAATTTTCAAGCTTTCGCAACCAACAAATAAAATTTTATTGATATTTCTAGAAAAAAAACTAAAAAAAAACGAAAAATGAAAATGTCCCTAAACTGTTCAAAATAAATCAAAATATTTTGAAAATGTTATCGTGTATAGAAGATGCAAATATAAACAACCAGTGAAAATTGCATGTACCTACGGTCATTTGTTTTAAAGTTACACCAAAAACCAAATTCAATTTTCTGAAAAATCGATTTTGCGTAAAAATTCCCGTTTTTCCTTAATTTTTCTTTTGTTTTTCTTGGCGCTTTTGAAAAGTACTGGGAATTTTAAATTTTGACCTCCCCAATACACCAACGATATTCACTTTCCAATCGAACAAGATACTGAAGTCGAAAATCGAAGCATTATTTCGACTACTTATCGTGTACACAGATACAAAAAAAATAAAAAAACACACATCATTGTAAAATCAATACATTCATCGTTTCACTCAGAATCTAAAATCTTTGAAATCAAAAATAAATTCGAACAACATGTAATCAGTAATCATATACCAAAATAAATGAGATTATTGATAATATTTCAGCTAAACTCTAGTTAAACTCTTTAACTGGCCAAATATCTCGGATTAATTAATTTGCAGTTAAGCTCCGGTTAAAATATTAATCAAGTAATGATAAAATCACATTTTTAGTTTAACTGGGGATTAATCTTAACTGGAGATTAAATTCTCTTAACTGAAGATTGATAAAATGGCCCTTAACAACATTCTATTCAGAATAAGAAACACAGTCGGCGGCGACCATTTTTCGTCGGCGGCGGTCCTGTTCGTCTGCTGAACCGACGACGACCGACTCTCCGTGCCGACGTACAGGGTATAACCACCGGTTGACTCACAATGACAACATTTTAACATTTAATGTTCGTGCTACGTTAAATTTTGAACAATAAGCAACGTACACTGTTCTGTGCGACTGTGGAATTTTTGTTCATTTGTAGCGAGCTGTGACTATCTTACCACATGGCTTGTCTAAATCACATCATAATATGTACGTAATCATATAATATACGCGCCGCGTAAATATAAATATAATACTCGAGCGCTTGCTCGTGTACACATTAATAATAATAATATCGATGGTACCGCGTATACAGTACGTGTGTGGTAATATCGAGCGCGTGACCATGAGCGGCGTGCGGCAATAGATATATGACTACGTATATGAATAATTCTAAAAATACTATAATTTAGATTTATGCTGTTATATTAAATAGGTATCACCACAAATGTACAATACAGATATATATATAGACATCCAGCGTGTGCAAGCGTGTGAATCACGTTAGGCCTAACCGCAGGATGACCATGTATGAACTAATGGAAGGGACAGGGACAGAGATCCATCGACGAGAGCGGATGGACACGCGTTCATCAGACGAGCACCCAGCCTCAACTCGAGCAGACACCAATATTGCACATAGTCACATTTCGCTAATTCACAGTTTAAACATAATTATTTGGACTTAGAATATTTTTATTATAACTATTTTGCACATACGAGTATCGTGGAGTTGGCACGTTACACATTTTGTGGCGTCGCGCGACTGTGTTTGTGTTTAACGTTACGGAATTTTTTTATAAGTTTGTGTACCATGAGTGGGCCAAGTGAATTTCGTGACATTTCAGAGCCAGAAGAAATGTCTACAATTTCTCCGAAGACGAAGAATCAAAAAGGCAAGGCAAGTAAAACATTTTTTATTGGTTTAGTATGCTACATAATCAGTAGATCAGTATTATATTGCATATTCATAAATATATTTTCCTTCCAGTATGTAAGCAGTGGTCAAAAGATTATTATCATCAATATGTTTAAAGATATTACATCGAAGACTTCGAATGTGAAGTATGATGATATGATTACTAACATATCACAAACCACAGTATAGGTAGTCAGACAATCATCAGAACCGTAGCAGAGTATAAAAGGACGAAAACTGTCAGTTCTCCTAATAAAAAGCGTGCAAAAAATCTCTTTTCGATAACATTGACGATTTAGATCGCAACGGATTAAGGCAAAAGGTACATGCAATTTGGTTGCGTCGTGAGCTACCGACGATCGATAAAATATTATACGAAGTGAACGAAGATCCATCGTTTCCAAACTTCAAACGTACCAGTTTGTATAACATAATAAAAAAATTGGACTTCGTATTCACTGAAAGAAAAAGGTGCAGTGTGTTGACCGAGCATGAAGACTTGATTAATTGGCGCCGCAATTACTTATACGACGTACCCAAATATCGCGAAAAAGGAACCATATATTATTTGGACGAAACATGGTTGAATGGAAGTGATTGTGTGGACCGCGTGTTGATGGACAAAACAGTAAATTAAAAACACGATGCGTTCAACAAAGATCTTACAACTGGTCCAACCAACCCAACCGGTAAGAGAAAACGACTAATTATATTGCATATTGGTTCGGACAAAGGATTTTTACTAGATGGTCTATTATGTTTCGAGTCAAAAAAAAATAGCACCGATTATCACGACGAAATGAATGGTGATAATTTTAAAGAGTGGTTTGAATCTTTTCTTCCTCGACTTGATCCCAATTCTATTGTGGTTATGGATAACGCACCTTATCATTCCGTCCAAGCAGAAAAATATCCATCTGCCAGTTGGAAAAAATCCGAAATATTGGAGTGGCTTTATTCCAAAGGTGTCGTTCTTGACCGACCAATGTTGAAGGCTCAACTCGTGGTTAAAGTACGTGAGTTAAAAAAACGTGAAAAATCGTACATTATGACAATTTGGCAAAAGACGCAGGACACACCGTACTCCGATCACCACCGTACCATTGCGAATTCAATCCAATAGAATTAGCGTGGGCGATGGTAAAAGAGCAGTAGCGGATCCAGAGGTCACCCAAGGGGGGGGGGCGAATTTTCAAAAATTAATTGACCTTTTTTATATAACCTGAAATGTATTAGTAATTTATAAATGTATTTATAAAAATAAAATATTATAATTGGTATAATCGGCCCAATCTATTTCAAATTGTGATAAGCAGACGAAAACAACAACGGTGGCGATAAGTTGATAACAACACCAGCAGCGCGCGTTCGAGAAGTAGAGTTTCTATATTATTATGAACATTAAACAGGTCAGGAAGAATCAAAACTGAGAATGGGTTAAGAAAAAATGGGAAATATTTTTACGCTGGCCCATCGTGTGTAATTATTAGTAGTATCCAAAGAAATAAAAATATTAGTTTTCACTTTTTCAGCTCAATTTTATGATTTAAAAATAACGTAAAAAATACGGGCCAAGGGGGGGGGGCCCATCGTATCCGCCACTGTAAAAGGGTACGTGAAACGGTTGAATACTACATTTAAGATTGACGACGTTCGCCAACTTCTTAATGCGGCTATAGAACGGGTAACGGCAGAAAATTGGTGAAATTTCAATAAACAAGTCATTGAAGAGGAAAATAAAATTTGGGAAGTTGACGACATCATGGAACAAATGATTGAAGAAATGGAACACCATGCGTGCTGACAATAACAGGAGAAACTTCTGATGATGAACTTCTTAATTCTATTTAATTTATGTTTATTTGATTATTATATTGTAAATATTTGAAAAACTTGAAAATACGAGATTGTAACAAATAGAACAAATGATGAAAGATGAAATTATTGAAAGATCAATGAGTCCGTTTAATGCACCACTAATTTTAGTTAAAAAGAAAGAGGATGCATCGGGAAAACAAAAATTCAGAATAGTTATAGATTTTAGAGCACTTAATGACGTAACATTAAACGAATTTCCCCCGTTACCAAATATAACGGAAATTTTGGATCAATTAGGACAATGCCAATTATTTACATTATTAGATTTAAAGGCGGGATATTGGCAAGTAAGTTTAGCGAAAGATTCAAAGGAACTTACGTCATTTTCCACAGGACAAGGTCATTACCAATTTAAGCGGTTACTTATGGGTTTAAGTTCAGCTCCGGCGACATTTCAGAAAACGATGACAAATGTGTTGTCAGATCTAATAGGAATAAAATGTTTCGTAAACTTAGATGATATAATAATTTACGCGAAAAACTTACAAGATCATAATGAAAAGTTAATAAATGTATTTGAACGATTAAGTACACATAATCTAAAAATAGAACCGGATAAATGTAACCGGGAAACCTGCCCGGTTTGTTGATGTAATAGTGGAGAATGATTTGGTAGATACATGTAAACCGGGTGACAAGGTAATGATTGTCGGTAATTACCGTTCTTTCCTTCCACCAAAAGGCAGCATTTTTTAGAACAATGTTATTTGCAATAAGCATTGTTTTAAAAAAAATGCAAATTTTTCTGTTGAACGGTCCGACATCACCAAGTGTAGGGACCTAGTAAACAGAGAAAAAGACAACATATTTGATTTATTGGCAAATTCAATAGCCCCCTCCCTCCATGGCAATATACACGTAAAAAGAGCTATAGTATGTTTATTGTTGGGTGGAGTTGAAACTATTCTACCCAACAACTCCCGCATACGTGGAGATATCCATATATTATTAATTGGGGATCCAAGTGTTGCAAAATCACAAATATTGAGATGCGTATTGCATGTCGCTCTAGACACTAGGTGTTGATGACTTATCGCCGAATAATTATGGGATGGTTAGAAAAATAATACTGTGCATGACAAATTTAATTTGTCATGATATTGTGATTTGTATGCTTGTGGTTACTTTTATATGATAAAGTAGAAATTTGGCTATTAATCTGATAATGTGTGATTGGCGATAGTTGGCTATTTGATAAGAGTAATCTGGCTACACTAATCATTAAAAACCTGGCAACCCTGGGTTAGCCCATCATATGGTAGTACGTTCACCAGTGTAATAATGTTGAGGTATAATTATCTCGTCTTCGACGGGCGTCGATTGGCACATGTGAGAGGTGAAGTGACCAGAACAAACGTGTAGAAAGCGGCGTGCTCAGAGGCCTGAGTAAAGTAAATAATTGAAGACGTTGGCGGCCAAGAGTGACTTCTCGCGAGTGACGACGCTCAATGACTAAGAATTAAGGACTGGAACTGGGACTTTTTATGGATTGGAAACCACAATGTCGGCGGTGATTGGGGAACGGCCACGAAAAGGTGGCACTTAGCTGATAAGAACACTGTTCTTGAGGATTTCAGCGCTACTCGTGGTTTTATTTGGCTACACAATTTTTATCTTAGTCCATGTTTTAGTCCTTACTCCTTGAAAATGTTTTACATTCTTCCAAAATGTGTGTTATTAGCTATGTCCATTCCAAATACTAATGCAAACCCTAGCTAAAACTTGAATTGGTCCGAGGACCCTTCTTTTGTAAATACTTACAATTCAATTTAATTATCTACCTTTTTCCCCGTAATCGGGTTTCAATAGACCAAAAATACCAGGAATTTAAAATGACTACGAATTTCATCATTTCACTAAAATAAAATAAAAATGAAAATTACTACAGTATTACACAACAGTGGACCCCCTAACAAAAACAAGCGGACCACCCATTGGGAATCACTCATCTATTATAGTATTCAGCTGCTTATTCATGATTTTTTGTTAATAATGTAAGACATACTGCTGGCAAAGTCATACGATTGAAAAGCAACATTTTTTGGTTGCAAATCATTGTTAACTAAGACACTTTCAATTGCTTTTGAGATAACAGTTGTAACAATACACAGATTACTGACTCGTCGTTTATGTCGTCACTCGATGGTTGAGAAACAGAACAGGAAAATTTAGCACGGGCGTATATATAATTTTGCGTAATTCACAGTCAGACGAGTTAGAATCGCGAAGTAGAGACTATATCGGTCTGCAGTCATATCTACATGTTAAAGCATAATAATCTATTTTTTTTTTATTTAGATAATTCATAATAAATCAATATTGTTTCAAAAAAATTCAAATAAATTAGGTAGAGCGGGGTAAAAATTTCCCTTGATTTAACATCATATATTTTTCTTTCGCATTTATTTATTTTAAATTTAATATTTTCGTAAGTATATAACAAAAAAAGAATACTTTGTCTATGCCATAGATAATAATAACAATCGAACATAAGTAGCGAGAACCGCTGCTGAATCGCCGGCGTGCCGTCTTCTAATAGTATGTCGAAGATAGCTGGAGTCAGTGTTGTCAGGTCAATCAAAACAGACAGCGCTACAGTTTGCTGAAAATTGCTCTACGCGCGCGCCACGCTCGCGATGATGTAGAAATAGTGTTTTGCACGATTGCGGACTTCGTTATCATTATTAGTTATAACTTATCACCGATTTTTTTATTACATTCTTAAATTCTTATTTCTTATCAAAAATTCCAAAATTTCAAAAACATGATGATTATATTAATATTAATAGTTGGGTAATAAAATATAATAACAATTCATATTCATTAGTCATTTAAATTATAATTCCAAGTTTTATAATAAATAATTCAATATTGAAGTGGTCAATCGTCAATGGAATAATATAATATATTATAATAAAAAGTTATAATTATTATAAAATAAATGTTTTGAGACGTGAGTACAATAAATTGAAATATAATTATAATCAAATAAAAATGATAATTTTGTTGTGTAAATAATAATCGATTTACAATAGTCAACAGTTGATGTATAATTCTTAAAACAGTTAAAAATGTATTAAATGCAAAATAAATAAATACAATTTAAGCTGACTCAGAACCTTCTTCATCCGAGTCACTATCGTCATACATGCATTGGTAATGTGTTGAATTTTTTTAAATGCTGTTCTGTTATAATATAATCAAGGCCGCATTTATTGTCGTTTTTTATGTCTAATTTTGTTCTAATCAAAGCTTTTACAGTATTCGGGTTGAAACGATTTCTTTTTTTAGTTTTTATATCAGTAAGCATTGAAAATACCCTTTCTACGCCAGCATTACCATGAGGAAGAGTTAATATGCCAACTCAGACAAATTAGGAAAAATAGCACAGTCATTGAAGTTTTTAACATTTTTTATGTACATCCAAAATTCAACAACTTCTGTAGGAAATATTTCTGATGTCTTCTCATCTTCAGAAAAGTAATATCTAATGAAACTAATTTCTTTTAATATATCTTTTTTTTTTATCATTGAAATTTAAACATTTCAATAAATAAAAATTGTTGAAGTTAAGAAGTGAAATAGCGCTACGTTTTTATTTTTCACGGGAAAGGATAATAATTTACGCGAAAAACTTACAAGATCATAATGAAAAGTTAATAAATGTATTTGAACGATTAAGTACACATAATCTAAAAATAGAACCGGATAAATGTAATTTTTTACAACGGGAATGTTTATTTTTAGGGAATATCATTTCCGACGAAGGCATAAAACCCGACGAAAAGGAAGTTGAGGCTGTAATGAACTTTCCGGTACCTAAAAATGTTAAGCATATAAAAAGTTTTTTAGGACTTAGTGGGTATTATAGAAAATTCATAGAAAATAATAGTGCTATTGTTAATCCAATAGTGAAATTATTAAGAAAGGACGGAAAATTCAATTGGGATGAAAGTTGTCAAGCAGCTTTTGATAAATTAAAAGAAATAGGTACTTTGTTCGGAACCAATTTTGTAATATCCAGATCTTACGAAACAATTTTTTACTTACAACCGACGCTAGCGGAAAGGCGCTAGGTGCAATATTATCTCAAGGTAAAGTAGGATCTGATTTACCAATAGCTTACAGTTCTAGAACTTTAAATAGAGCAGAATGTAATTATTCAGCAACAGAACTAGAATGTTTAGCGATTATATTCGGCATAAAAATATATTAATAAACATAACTATTTTACTTTTTAAAATATATAAAAATACAAACATAATACATTTTTTAAGTTTATGGATAACTAATTACAATAATACTTAACATAATAGTACTTCAGGTTTACAAATATCACAAATATGGTATAATTCTTTTTCACTATCATCTTCACCTGTGCATGAGCAATGTGCCCATTTTTCCTCATATTTTCTGAATCCCAATTTCGGAGTTTGGAAACTCTGACTCTTAAACGAGGCATTTCTAAAAATTAAATTATTTGGAAATTCATTAAAACACAAATAATAAATTGTAAAACTTGCTTTAAAATAATAATAAATTTAAATATTATACCTTTTATTTAATATGTTAATATAATATCATAAATGTAGTTAACTATATAATTTAAATGGCTTATATTTGTTCAAGAGCATGATTATTAAATAGAATAGAATAATTAAATTAAATGTATTAAATTATAATATTTGAAAAAATGAATTGAGATAAGATGGGACATGTCTTCATCTTGCCCCATTGCATTTTTCCCGTTTTACCTCAAACAGTAATAATTTAACTTAACGTTTCTATTAAACTTACAATAAGAATGAGCTCTACCAAATTTGCATTAATCGAAAACTAATAATAATTTTTAAAAATTTTACAGGAGTAGTAATTAAGAATAGACAATTATTTACTTACTTATTCACTATTTTATGTCTGCAAAATTGTACATCGCCAATGGCCGTTAAATTGAATACGCACGTGCACCGTATCACTTTAATTATTTGTTGATATCAAATAATATTATTATAGTGTGACCAACATAGCACATTTTTTGTAAAAAAAAAATTTCCCAACAATCAATAGTTTTTGAGATACAACGATGTCCCATCTTACCTCTAGTCCTCGTCTTACCCAGGTTTCCCCTAATTGTAAACAAACATATGTAAGCATAAAATATTAAAATGTAATAATTAATGTATGTAAAATTTAAACTATAGGAAGGTGCTTGAAGTAACAGAAATTAACAGGAAGTTAAATTGAGTTAATTTTTCTCGTTTAGAAGATAAAAATGAACTTTTAAAGGGGGATATGTAGTAAGCGAGGTACTACGTAACATTTAAAGTCCCGACACGTAACATATTTAACATAATATACTATAGATAGGTAACTATCAGATACGCCAAATGGAAATAGAAATTGACTAGTTAACCTTCGATTGTGTTCTAATATAAATATACAAGTAGTCACCTCGACTACCAGTATATTACACAACATACAAATTTGAAAATATTTTGACTCTTTTTGAGCTGTTTACGAGCATTGTCAGTTTTCAATTTTCTTAGTTTTTTTTCTTTAAATATCAATAAAATGTTATTTGTTGGGTGAAAAAGGGTGAAAATGTAATGCAAGTCTCCTGATGTATTGTAACAATAGCAGTTGAAAAATATTAAAAATACATAGGCACAATTTTTTTTATAAGCATTTAAAGTTCGAAGTTTAACAGATTTAGTAATTATTTTGTTGTTAAAAATTCATAAAATGTTCAACTTTATACACTTGGAACCTACCGTACAGCAGAGCGACTTTTTATTATAATATAAATTTAAGGCGAGTTATGTGTATTTTAAAATTGTTAACTGTTTGTACATATAATAATCTTGCCTTTAAATTTTATAAGAGGTCAATTCACTCTAATTTTTAAACTAATGGGAGATAAACGTGTTCTGCTGAGCATAAAATTTGCTATGTTACGCACTTGTAAGATGAAGGCAACAAATGTAACTGTAACGGACCCTTAAACAATTGTTCTTAACCAAAGAACACACTATGATGGAGATTGGAGGCTGATAATGTACACTCAACACTTGATTATTATTTTAAAGTAGTGACAAATATATATAAACTTATGTATACAAAAGAAGGGGAAATATTTTATAAAACTTCTTTTAACATTAACAATGACTCGGCTAATCAACATGAACAAAATTATCAGTTCAATTTACACATACCTGAACAAGAACTAAGTCAATTATACAATGAACAATTTTAAATAACTAATAGTAAAATTGTGACTTGCAATTTCTAAAACAGATTATTGAAAAGAACCATCATCCATTTTATGATTTATAATTTAATTAAGATATTACATTCAACAACACAAAACATAAAAAGCTTCACTAAATTATTATTATCTACTTTTAAAATAATTAAACAAATATTAATGTTTATAGTATAGATCAAAAATTAAAACTATAATTAGTGAATAATTATAAACAAATACATTTTATGTATTAATGTGAGAACCTCGGTTTCAGAAAGTAAGTTCTCAATTGTATAGGTACATTATTAAAAACCCTTAGTTATTAAATTCCCCCGTAGTAGATTTGATTTCATGGCAAATTTGTCAATTGCCTTTTCAATATTCAAGTTAATATCAGGTGAGCGGTTATTGGAATTTTCAATTGATGCTAGATGAGCCATGAGCAGATAATACAGGATGATAGTTTTATAAAAGTCTAGATAGACCTAAAAACTTTCCACTATTGAAAAAATTGTTCATTGTGACAACGTAATGCACTATCATGTTTGGAAAGATCCAAAATGATATCCATTAGAACTTTTACAATTTCTCGATTTTTAGCAACTTGAAAATGTCCAGACCTAATAAGAGATATATCGATACTGTTCTTACCAACATACATTGCTCTGTTAAACTCAGATTCCAGATGATCTCTAAAAGATTCATGGTCTTTTAAGTGAGTAGATATATGTTTAAAAACGACAAAGCATATTACCAAGAGAAATAGTTTTCTCCAACCAAAATTTAATTAATTTGGTAAGATGATTTAAATACAAATATTTACAAATTTTAAAACAAATGTCTGGTATGTTTATAGGTATACACAGTGAGATTCATTTGAAACACAAAAAAATGATTTTAAACTAAGTGTACACATAGCTGCTCATTCTGCAATAAATAGTATTGATCATTTGGGTGAAATCCTCAATACAGCAGGGGAAGGATACATTTTTGAGGAAACCCGTTTACACAGAACTAAATGTTCAAAAATAATTTTAAATGTAGTATCTCCTACTCTACTAGAAGATATTGTTGAAGACATAGGTGCAAACCGATACTCATTAATAGTCTATGAATCTACTGATGTATCAATAACAAAATACATGGAATACTGTGTAAGATATTACAGTAAAAGTTTAAAAAGTATAACAACTGAATTTCTTGGACTTGTGATGATTGAACGTGCAACAGCAATTGATCTTCGTGATGGTACACTTGAGTTTCTAAAGACAATCAAACTGAAACCAAAAAGAATTAGAGGTCTAGGAGTGGATGGAGCAAATAATCTTTGTGGTCGTAATAATTCGTTACATACTTTACTAAAAGAAATTTCCCCCAAATTACAACTTATTAAATATATCTGCCATTCATTAAATTCATGTTCGTCTAAGGCAGCGGAAATTCTTCCTGCTCATATTGAATATATGTTGAGGGGAGTCAGTGTCATGGTACTCGCATAGTACACTAAGAAAAAAAGAATATAGTAGATTATATCAAACAATTAATGGTGACGGATCAACACAAAAGCATTTGGTAAAATTATGTGCCACACGATGGTTGGCATTTTATAACTGCATCATAGTTGTCGTTGATCAGTGGTTAGAATTGTAAACATGCTTTAAATTGGCCTCAATATCAAAAAAAGAAAAATGTCATACTGCCCGGACACTAGCTGAAATATATAACGATGAGAATTTATTATATTTTGTATTCCTGAAACCTATACCAAGAGAAATTACAAATGTAAATCTACAATTCCAAGCTAATAATGCAGATCATACTAAAACTTATGGAGCATTAAAAATGTTATTATTATCAATGGCTAAACGAATTATAAAACCAATTTTTTACGGGATGATGAGTGTCCAGGTCTTATGTACAGAGGATGTAATGAGAGTATACAAAGCGTTAGAAAATCCTCTAGCTTTTCTACCTTTAGAAGCCATTGGTTATGGACACTCTTTGAAATATTGGCACAAAAAAATACTATATCAAATAATAATCTTAAACTCATCAAAGATCGGTGTTTACACTATATGACTAGTCTGTATCGTGAATTGATAAAACGACTACCAAGCAATACTTTAATAATTGAAAAACTTAAGTATTTCAGTCCACTTGAGTTCTTTCTTCAGTTCCACCCAAGTTTTCTGATTTGCCAATAGAGCTAGCAGGTAAATTATTTTATTGATATTTTATTAAATAATTAAAATGAATATTTTAATATGAATATTTTAATATTAATTTTCAGAACACAATGTCAATATTGAAACTTTGGAGATACAATGGCGCAAGTTAATTACATTAATGTACAATGATATATGTTATCCAAATATTACAATAGAAGAAAAAGATACGTCTCAATTTTGGGTTGATGTCCTGAATATAACCAATAATTATAAAGAACAAATATTTCATGAACTTGCTATATTTGTTTTAAGTATGCTGTCTCTACCTTTGTCGAATGCCGTAGTAGAAAGAGTTTTTAGTGTGATGAACGCAGTGAAGTCTAAAGCAAGAAACCGCATGTATATGGCTATGCTTGAAGCTATTATGCGAATCAGACTTTATTTAAACGTAGGTTTAATTACATTTTACCCCGTACATTCTGTATATGCTTTCAAAATTAAAATGTTTGTACAATATATTAAAATTTTTAGTCTCACAAAATTTGTTGCACAAAGTTTGACCCTACCGCCAATATGATCAAAAGATTTAATGCCAAAATGTAAGAAAAAAAAATATACAATTTGAATGATGATTTGGTGACTGAGACCGATTCTGATGGCCCACCCAACACATTAAATGAGGTGTTGCAAGATTTAACAAATGTGGAAAATGGACAGGATTAATATAGAATTAGTAAGTTACTTATTTCAGAAATATTGTAACTTGGCGGTTTTGGGCGACTACAACGCTCTCTATCGGCGGTACGCCGACTTATCTATCCCCCAACCCCGTTTTGTCATATATTAAGGATTTTAGACGTTTTTGGGAACCCTGTACACGCTTATCAAATATTGCTAGCGGAACATACGTCTATAATTTGTAATAACAGCATAATAATTAATTAAACCATTTTAGTAACCATTAATATATTAAATGGTATGTTATGTAGGCAGCCAGGCAGGAACTACCTAAGTATTATTGTTTTAATACCTACTTATAACACACACTTACCACTTGAAGTTGAATGAAATTCAATAGGTATAATATCCTCGTAGAGTTTAATTTTTTTCTATTCCGAAAAGAAAGATTTAAAGGATAAATTGGATTTTTTTGTTTTCATTCTTGAACAATGATTCAAATGTCTTTGATAATTTTTCGAATTTAAATGTTCTCGATTTTTACCACAAACACACATATTACGTGTTAGACATAATTGAATAAAAAGACACAATAAAACTAAGTGTCGTTAAAAATGTCAAATATAAAAACACTGAAAAAAGTATAATGCAATTTGAGTAGGGACTGAGTGTAGATACGTACACGTTCGCCGTTCAACTTTGACTGTGTCTACTAGGGTAATTTGTCAATATTCAATGAAGATCAACGCTTTGACAACAATAGCATAATATTATATTATTATTAACAACAAAAATTATTTATAATATATGTATGCCGACATGCAGTGTATGGTGTATCACACCAAAAACACTTTTGTTAAAAAGTTAAAAAAAAAAATGTAGTAATGATTAAATCTTTAAATTAAGTGATATAATATGGAAATTAAGTAAAATGACATTTTATAATATTGCAAATACCTATGATGACAAATAAGATCAATTGTAATGTTAAATACTTAGTCAACATATTGTTGATACATTATTAATTGAAGACCTTGGGGCAACAACGAGACATGTTCTTTTTTGAAATTATTCAACAGCCAAAAAAAAAACATTGTAAATTTAAAAAAATAAATTAAGATTTTTTAAAAAATAGTAGATTTTAGTTATAAGGTACATACAACATATGCACTATAAAAGATAGAGCTAAACTTTTGCACCAACACAAAAACAAGACATATTATAACTCCATATATAACAGTCGGACATGACGTCTCATTGTTACACCAATCAATGCAGATTTTTTTTTATATTTTATGACGGGAAAAAGTGATTTTGGCCAAAACATGGACATGTCTAGTTGTTGCCCCAAAGTCTTCAATTACTGTAAATACTGTAGTGATTACTGAATTATATTTATTTAAGTATACTTTCTACGTCTTACCAAATAATTAAACATAATATGTTGACCAAGTATTTGACATTACAATTGATCTTATTTGTAATATTATAAATGTTATTTTACTTAATTTAAATACTATATCACGTCTTTTAAAGATTTAATCATTACTAAATTTTTTAGATTCTGAGTGGAACGATGAATGTATTGATTTTACAATGATGTGTTTTTTTTTTAATTTTTAATTTTTTGTTTTATTTGTGCCTGTGTAAACGACAAGTAGTCGAAATAATGCTTCGATTTTCAACTTCAGTATCTTGTTCGATTGGAAAGTGAATATCGTTGGTGCATTTGGGAAGTCAAAATTTAAAATTCCCAGTAATTTTCAAAAGCGCCGTGAAAAACAAAAGAAAAATTAAGGAAAAACGGGAATTTTTACACAAAATCTGTTTTCGAAAAAATCGATTTTGGTTTTTGTTGCAACTCTTAAACAAATGACCGTAGATACATGCAATTTTAACTGAATGTTTATATTAACATTTTCTATACACGATAACATTTTCAAAATATTTTGATTTTTTTGAACTGTTTCTGAACATATTCATTTTCCATTTTTTTTAAATTTTTTTTCTAAAAATATCAATAAAATTTTATTTGTCGGTGAAAAAAAGCTTGAAAATTTAATAGAAGGCTCCTAGCATATTTTGAGTTAAGAATTCGTAAACATTTTTCTTTTTAAATCTAAGATTTGAAAATGTAATAAAAGATTCCTTATAAAATTTTCTACATTTATCAAAAAAAAAATATGTCTATAAGAAAGTCAAATTAAATTTTTATGAGCGTTTGAAATTCAAATTTTTACAACATTGGATTTTCACTCGATTTCTCATGTAGCGATTTCCTTATTTTGTTGTAATTCAAAAACGAATAACTGCAGATACATGCAAATTTACTGAATGTTTATTTTATCAATTCTTATAGTTGATAAAATTTTCAAAATATTTATTTGTTTTGAGCTTTTTACGGACAATTTCAGTTTTCAATGTTTTTTGTTTTTTTTTCTATAAATATTAATAACGTTTTATCTGTTAGGCCAAAAAGTGTAATATAATTCTCCTGATATATTGTTACAATATCAATTGAAAAATATTTAAAATACATACGAACAATTTTTTTTTATAGGGATTTAAAGATCGAATTTTGACAAATTTAAAATTGAATAATTATTTTGTAGTTAAAAATTTATAAAATGTTCAACTTTTATATCTGAGGATTGAAAATTTAAAATAAGATTCCATGTAAGTAGTTAATTCTTAATTCTGTTACCAAAAAATCTAAAAAATACATCAGCACAGTTTATTTTTTAGTCATTTTAAGTTCAAATTACATATTAAAATCAATATTAACGATTTTAGTTTTTTGTTGTAATTTAAAAATATTATTCGGGGATATATGAAACTGAAAAATTAATAAATCAAAATATTATGGCCTGTCCATACAATCTACCATAGTATGATGAATAAGAAGTATGCTCTATGATAAGACTGTGCATATTTTTTTTTTATTACCATTGATATGTTTCAATTTTTTGTTTAATACCATATATATATATATGATATATCTTAAACCTAGACTGACATACCGTCTCCGCTCAGAATCGTTTTTCTCATACAATGATATTATATCATTGAATTCAAATTTAATACCATCCATTATACAGTGACCCACTTGTAACCTACTGTACAGCAGAGCACCTTTTTTTTAACTTAGCTTTTTTACACGGAATTATAACGAAATGTTTTTGGTATGATATCAGACATTTTTTTTATGAAATAAGTCGCGATTTTATTTGACTGTATATAATAATAATAATCCATAATAGCATAATATGCATCGTTGGCCTCCTGTTGTTATATCTTTTTTTTCTATTTTAGTTTTTTTTTTTCTAAAACTATAACATAAATATTATATCGTTATACCTAACCCATATTTTATTATTATGTTTAATAACTGATGTGTAATGGGCTTGAGACTTGATGGACCCGATGGAAAATCACAGAATTAAGAGTATATGATTTGCTATCGATCTTAATTGTTGCCACGGGTAATGAATTAATCACCAGATTGCTTATTTTATTTTAATATTGTTCCAAGTTTTCAGCATAAAAATAAAATACTGTTGAGCTGGATCGCGAATTCACTAAACAATCACAGTCGTTGAGTCGTCAGCAAGTACCTATGATCTATATGATCACTCGTCAGCAATAGTCAACACACGAAATGGTTCAATGGTAAATGGGTGCCGGCGTCCGGCGACCGGCATCCGAGAGACCGCGCAGTCGCAATCGCCAATCATCGTACGTCGTCGTCGTCGCCGCCGCCGCCGCGATGATAGTAGTGGGAATTTATAAGCGGGCCAAAAGGCGTTCTCTTACAAATGATAATTGAAAAAAAAATAATAATCCCATACCAACATTACCAACCGATAAAAATGTTAATGTTCAAAATAATAATTTAATATCAGTTTTAGTGCCAGCATGTAGTAAATGTTCTTTTTTATTAATGTATTAATGTAATAATAATTAAATAATGTATCATCTTTTCTATGTACTTTTCTCGATCACCTGTTGATTAATCGTCTAATGAGTAATTAGTATTAATTAATTCAAATTCAAATTCAACCGTCAAATTACAAAAAATGGCTTTTAATGCATTACTTGACCACGATTACTTACTTAGTAGTAAGTATTATTTATTTGTATATTACATTTTTATTGACTCAACATTACTTTCAGATAATGAAGATTATATAGATTTGGATATTGTAGTAGATGAGGAGGATGAAGATTTAGATGTTATTGTTGAAGAGGAGGAAGATGATTCAGATGATATTGCAGATGAAAACAATTAAAAAACAATTTAAAACAATTTTATAATTTATGAGATGTTTAAAACATTAAAACATGGTTTAAACATCTATATTAATCAAAACATGATTTTGTTTAAAACAAATGAATTAAACAACATAAAATAAACAGTTGTTTAAAACAGAAAAACATCATTTATGTGCACACAACTTATAATTTATAAGTTCATACTCGCAACTTCTATTTATTATTTTTTTTGTTTCATAATCAAATTTGAAATTTATAACATTTATAATAATAATTTTACTTATTCAAATTACTAACAGTATACTTCTATGGTTATATTACTTATGTAGTTGTGTAGGTAATATATTTGTTTAATTTTAATTTTTAATACCTATTTCATTTACAAATTACAACACAAACTTGAAACTTACCCAACAGAATTATAAAATATTAAAATGTATTGTTTAATGTTTACTGTTTAGTCATAACAGTTAACACTTAACAAGTCATAATGTAAAGCATAAGTTATATAGAAATTAGAAATATAATTTTTAAAATACATACCAATAAATAGGTTCCTACTGGTGGGGTTCATTTAAGGCGTTCTATTGGTTTGGCTGGAACGAGTACTGGACATTTAGCTACCTCCATTAGGCAGATATATAATCAAGAAGTTGTGTTGTAAGTACTTTTCGGATTAATATTATATATTTGCGCACTTGTTCTAAAATTATACAATTCTTACAATAACCATTGCAGTATTTTGTGTGAAGACACAGTTTATGATCTGAGTTAATAAGTATCTGTTCATTAGAACAGTTTTTTTTAATATATAATTTGAAAGATAATGTTCAAAAAATTATGTTTTATCTTTAATTTTTTTATATGTTGCAATTTTTCGGTTTCCTTAACTGGGGTAATAAATATAGAGTCTGTAATTCTACAGTTTTTATTTAAGATATCCCAAAGTTTGTCTACAAGTCCATTTGATTTTATATTATTTTCTATTTCAGCACCAACATTTTAATTTAATAACTATAAATGTTATAGGAATCCTGAAGGTGCACATGATTATACTCATTTACAGTACCGGTCGAGCCTCAATAAAATGAGACGTCGTATACGCCCGGTAAATAAGAAAACGGTTCATCAGTTGGCGCATATATGTTTCAACCCTGCAGCACCCATCCTCGAGGTCCGTTTGTATATTTTATGTTAAAACTTCAAATGTATGTTTTCTTTTTATTATATTCATATACTATTCTATTATTTAGATTTTTTCAACATAATTTTCCATTAATGGTAGATGGAGAACGTTTAGGAGTAATATTTGCAAATACTGATGCAATTGAAAAATATAGGGGAGAACTTCAGTCGATTATTGTGGCAGGAGTAGATGGAACTTTTAAGACTGTTCCAAAAAATCCAACAGATTTGAAGAAGGGCTGCCTACTTACTTTCCATATAGTGTTTAGAAATATGGTAAGTTGGGTTTTTTGCAAATAGATATTAATTGTGAATGCACTTCTTCTTCATCTGGCTCTTAATATTTTCTAAGAGTTCACCGCCATCCCTCCAACATGTGTATACATTTAAAAATTAAATATGATTGTTCTATTCAGTCTTTTCAAATGGTGTATGCATTGACCACAAGGATGACCCAGTCCACTTATGAGTCTTTCCTCAGAATTTCAGAACAAATTTTACCACTGAACTACGACCGACTTACTATAATAACTGATTACGAACGAGGTTTAATGAACGCTGTGAGGATAATATTTCCGCATACCAAGCTTCAGGGGTGTTGGTTTCATTTCTGTCAAGTGAGTAAAAATAAACTTATGCTCTGTAAATTGTAATGAATTGTTTTATTATTATTAATGTATTGGACTCAAATCAAATTATGCAGTCTGTTATCCGGTACTGTAAAAGAAGCATGCATAGTCTATACGATCTATTCCAAACTACTGTCGAGGCTGCTACAGTTTTACGCATGGTAATATTATGATTTATTATTCTTGTTTTTGTTTCTTCTCCACTACATCCCACCATCCTTTTCTGGGTCACCGCCAGTCTTTTTATCGTTGGCTTTTTCTCCTGTAGTTCTTTGTAACTTGTTATTATTTAATTTGACTAATATTAGTTTAACATTTTGTCTTTGGTTTTAGGTGTTAGCTCTACCCCACCTTCCTGCTGAAGCCCAAATAAATTGTAATTTTACCATGTTTGATGGGTTTCAAAAAATTGTACATATGTCAACAACCAACACCCAGTAACTCGAGAGCGCTTACAACCATTTTTATTTGGCTACATACAGAACTTTTGGCTTACAGAAATAGGCGCTGTAAACATAAGTGTTTTTGGGTTAGAATTCTTAAAACATAACATAACAGATTAGTGTCATTCGTTGTAATTCGTTTTAGGTCAGATATCCGTACCAACAATTATGTTGAATCATTTCACGCCACACTGCTGACACAAATTGGAAAACACATAACAATTATTTGATGCGTATATTAATTTCATTATATATTCATGTTTGTGAATATTGTTTTATTCATACATATTATGTATTTGTGATTCTATATGTGAATGGGTATTAATGGAATATAATATAAGGTAGGTATATCAGGTAGGTACATATTATATATTATACATACCAAATCAACAAGTAGAAAGGGATACCTATGAAGACTTGTGGATGCAGTGGAGAACTGATATGTTTATTGCTTGATATAACTTTTTAAGTTAACATAATATAATCAATTTTTTTTCTTACGATGCTAAGTGTCCGGGAGTAGGGTGGAAGGCCTAATTAAAACATATGCTTGGCAGACTTTGTTATTGGGCACTTTTAAATTTCTGCTATGTCTGGTTCGGCGATGGTGTTAATTGTTGAGCAGTTATTAATCAACTATAGCAACAATGTATTTAGATTCTTTGTATTAATTGAAGACTTTCTGTTATTCTAGAGAAACTATTGATAATTCAAAATCAATATTATTTGGAAATAGACCAAGCCCGCAGGAATCACCAGGTGATTCTCTAAACAAAATATATATCAGACATAATATATAAGTTATAAGATTAAATATAATTTCAGATCAGATGTCATCTATCTCGTGTAGATAGATCAGAAGTCACCATCAAAATACAAGGATACATAAATCAGTTAAGTGCGAATGGTAATTTATTACTTCTTTAAGGACAGCAGGGCATCTGATGGATGGTTATTACAAAAAGCAAGTTCGACCTCAACCATTGGTAAACTTATGATTTGTATTTTATTTTATTACCTACTAATGTTAACTCATTATTTTTTTATTAGGATCAGTAATGAATGTGTTCAAGTTGAAGCCAGTAACTTTTAGGTTAGATATGACTTGAAATAATTTTATTCATAACCCTTTTATTTTTATAAAAATGTTATACTTCTTTATAAACTTATATACCAACTAATGATTTATACAACATTTTTTTATACAACTTTTATAATTGTAAATAATTAATTTATACAACGTTTTTACAAAATTTACAACTGGGCAAGTTAACTATTATTTCTAACTCAACGAACGTGTATGAAATACTGAGTAAATAGTTATAGATTACTCTTAGTTAAATATTTTTTTTTGTCTTACTTCTTATATAATATCACTGTATAAGAAAAACGATTCTGATCGAAGACCTATGATATTTCTAAGCATATTTGATGATATTATTGTAAATAAAGTAATTTATAACCTATTTACATGATACCTTGTTTTAAATTTTCAATCATTAGCTATAAAAGTTAACATTTTATACATTTTTTAACCAAGGCTGGGCAAGTTAATGATTTTTTTTAACTGAGTTAAGTTAAGTTAATATGCACCAATAACAAAAAGTTAAAAGTTAATTTAACTATAGGTTAACTCAGTTAAGTTAAAAGTTTATCAAATAAAATATGTATGTATGAGTATGTCAAATATTTAATGTAAACACTTATTTATATTTAAATAGCTTTAAAAAAAAATGAGAAATAAATAAAGTGTGAAGAAGTGAGTACAGTGTACTCAGTACACTCAAAAAAAGTGAGAATAGTGATAAATAGTGAGTGCGTAGCAACCCTGTTAAAATAACTACAGTGAAATTTTCATATAACAAACTTTCATTTAACAAAATGTTCTGTTTAACAAATTATTTTTAGAACAATGACCTTCATTGTTAATCATGCATTAATTCTATTTAACAAATTCCTCCATAGTATGAGTTTCTTATGTCCCCCAAGTGACTTCATTATACGGAAGTTTCACTGTATTAATAATTTATTTAGGAATTCTAAGGAATTTGTACTGTAAAAATATTTATAAATGTTTAGATTTATGTTTACTTGACTTACCTCAGGCATGTTAAAATGGTAAGAGTCTGGCATACTCAACAATTCATTTGCTCCACTCAATGATGGTTTTTTACTCAGAATTTCTTAAATTCTCTGGACCAAAAACCCGTGCATGGTTAACATCTTTTTATAGAAGTGGACAGCTGCCAAAACTTTTCAAGAGAGCTAAGGTCATTGCCTTGCTTATACCCGGGAGAGATGGTCTTGACGCTACAGATTTCCGTCCAATTTCACTTCTGAGTGTTCCATTCAAGTTACTCTAGAGAATTATCTTAGAACGTATATCGACAAACTAATTCCAGTTGGACAGGCAGGATTTCGAGAAAATAGGGGTTGTGAGGAACAGGTACTTGCGCTTACTACCCTAATAGAAGCGGGATTTCAAAACAAGTTAAAATCCAGTGCTGCATTTGTCGACCTTTCTGCTGCATATGACACGGTTTGGAGACACGGACTTATGTATAAATTTAGCAAAGCTATACCTTGTAAAAACCTTGTAACTCTCCTAGAAAATATGCTAACTAATCGTCGCTACTTGGTTTTTATGGGCTGCAAAGGAAGCAAATGGCGCACAGCAAACAATGGTCTCCCGCAAGGTTCAGTACTTGCACCAACCCTATTCAACCTTTATCTACATGATAAACTAAAAACCAAAGTATTTATGTTCCAATATGCTGACGACATCGCTATCGTACACCAGAGCAGGGAATTAAAAGACGGGAGCAACACATTAAACGACGATCTTGCTACACTAGGCGATTATTTCTATAAATGGCGACTAAAACCCAACCCCACGAAAACGGAGGTGTGTGCATTCCATTTAAATAATAAACAAACTTATGAAGAACTAGAGGTGGTTTTCAATGGTGTACAAGTCCAACACAGCTTCAAACCCGGAAATCGATGAAACTTTGTTATAATTTGTTTTTTCCCAAAGACAATACTGGTGCAATTTTCCAAACAGCATGAATGGCCACCAAAATACATAGTAGTAAACAATTATTACAATAAAAAGATCTAAAATTTCAAATTCAAAATTCAGGTTTTCACAGAAAAAAAGTTATGTACGCACAATGCAAGATTTCAAGATCGATCAACTTTTGAATTATCACTGAAAATAAAATGTTTACACATGATAACATCAAAAAATGTGTAAAAACAGTTTCAGCAGCAAAAGAGAATTTTTAATTATTTTCGAATTCTGGCTACACTGATATCTCGAAGATTTTTCACTGATTTTCGAGTTCTCATTAAATGATTCTTCTGGCTATTCTGTGATATAAGTATTACCATTAATGGGTATAGTCATTAGTCATTATGAGTATACTCTTTAGTCGTATAGAGCAGTAAAGTATAGTCTCGTGACACCGCCTACCGCAGTCTACGTCAGCCATCAGGATAATGATATTATTATAATATTATAAAAATATTATATAATATTATACATCCCGCCAAGACTGCAAAGCACAGTGACCGCGGGCTGACATTGACTAATGTAGTCAATGTGAAAAATTTAGAAAATCATTTTATCGAGTTTATAACGAAAATAAATTTTGAGACAAAAACCCCAACCTATGGCAATGATCATAGTTTTATTATTATTTATACCTGTTGCCAGTTGCCCGTTGGGTTTTCCCTTGGTAAGTAGGTAAAATAATAAATAGTATAGTAAAATGTATAAACATTATTTATTGATTCAAATATTGTCATATTATCATATCTACTATCGTTTATTACTGTGTTGCTTTGATGTCTTCTGCAGTCGGTCGTTGGTATTACAACATCTTAGTTACAGTTGGCCGTTACTCGTTATTTACTAACTACTTATACAATTTGCAACTTTCAAGTTGTCTTCTTATAGTTACTACCTAAATACAGTTTGTCAGTTTCCAATTTACAAGTTATAGTTAGGTATTGGTTAATAGTTACTATACAGCTACTACAGAACTATTGGTATAGTTAGTTCTTACTTAGTCCTGTTGACTGGAATGTTGTGGTAAGTAATGATTTTTTAAATATTGTAAATTTAATACAGCTTTATATAGATAAAACCATAATTAACGTAATATAAAGGTAATAAGTAATAACTTGACTTAGAATTATGATTTGTTTTATTTGTAAAATTAGTGTAAATACATTTTCGGCGTTGGCTTTTCACTATAAATTGATGCATTTTCTTAATCTTTTAAGCTCATATGAGTGTTCTGAGAGCAACTGTTCTCAAACATTTCAAAATTTAAATAGTCTTAGAAGGCATATACTTAGAATACACAATAATAGTTCTAGACTTACTAGAAAGTAAATAGAGATTTTAATACAAATATCTTGACAAATACTATGGTAAACCCGTGTCATATTAATACTTCTTGTGCACCATTAATTGATACAAACATATAATATGTTAAATAATAGTAGTTACACTCCACCATTGCTGAATACAAATCATTTTAATTTAAAAGAAGCTTTAGATTTTCTAAATGTGTCAGCTGTTAAATTTAGTCTTCAATTACATAATAATAATAACTTTTCTAGAAAAGATATTTTAAATATTCAATCTGAAATTTCTGATAAAATATTAAATTCAATTATATTATTACTCAAAGGTACTTTACTAGATAAGATTAATTTATTAATAATAATAAAATTTGAAACAAATCTTAAGTTATGGCAAAATACACTTCCGATAAAGGACATACATAGTTTGACCAATACATATGATTCATCAATAACATTAACTTTATCTATTCCTCAGTCAAAAACATCATTCTGTCTTGAAACTGTATTTGAAGAAAATAATCAGTGTGCCTATGTAATTGATTATTTCCATCAACATAATTGTTTAAATGATTCATGCAGATCAATAATTGTAACTGCTATCATAAATCATATTATTATAAAAGCAAAAATATCAATGCCTATATACTTTAGCAAATATTATAGGCGACACAGCTGTTGCTAAATTCCCCACTGAATTAAAAGTAAGAGTTTTCAATACTATAAACCATGACTAACTATGAAACAATATTATACAGTTTATTTAATTTTAGGACATATACTTCTGTAAAGATTCCATTCATAAAACTCCTAAAGGGAAAATTTATTCTAAGTACTTTAATACCATCAAACAACT